GCCTGCCCGCGGCCCCGGCTCCCGGCGCCGCGCCGCCGCCCGCCGGGTGTTCACCATGCTGCTGCAGCGCCCGCGCCCGCCCCTTCCTCCCGGCCCGCCTGCCTGCCTTCCTTCCTTCCTGCCGCCCGCCCTTCCGGGCCCCGCGGCGGGAGGAAGGATCCGGGGCGGTCCCGCTCGGCCCCCTGACACGGGCCAGGACGCGGTGCAGTCGCGGGGTGCCGGCGCTTGGCAAAGTGTAAAATGCTGCACTAAAATGCCTACGGGAGTTTCAAATTTTAGTTAAACTTTCAAGGAAGGAAGGAAATCCCCTCTCACCCATCTTGATGCAAACCAAACGAATGAGATAATGTGGTAATTTGGCAGTGTTATGTTATTGGTGACTCTAGAAATGCCACGTCTTAAAAGGTACTTTTCTACAGCAAGCAAACTATTAGTAGTTTACAGAAAGGAAATAAATCGTCCCATTAGAGCAGCCTTTACATTGGCTTAACAGAGTTCCCGTTTTGTAGCATTTCAATATAAAAAAATGGAGCACACACACACAAGTCTGATGAGATACAGAATCAGCCAAATACAGACAGAGCTTACAGGTAGTGGTTAAATCATGAACACACGACACAGACCTAGTAGGAAAGTTTAAAATTAAACTCATGTGATTTTGAACTCTGATGCACACTGGCCCAGCATTAAAAAGAAACCACTACATTTTTATTAAGAGAAAAAAATCCAAACTTTTATTGATGCATTACTAGTATCAATTCCCTGTTTCTCTCATTTGTCAAAAGAAGAAGCCAAGAAAATTTCCTGCTATTTGCCACTACAAAAACGGTATTTGAGGACTAATGTCCCTTTAAAAACCTTAATCATTAAACATAGTGGAATGGATTATAGGACGCTGACATTCCAGACACTACCTACAGGCATTCAAATTCCACTTGCTGCCTATATGAAGAATTTCAAAGATGTTGGTGAAAATTCATTCCCTTACAGTCCAAATCTCAAAACATGTACAACAAAGTTAATGACTACTACCAGGATGAGGCCATGCCCCTGTCTCAAATCAAAATGTAATTTACTATTTTAGACACTCGGTATCAAAGTTCCTGCTAAACTACAAGCTGAACTTTAGGTATCTACTCTCATTTAAAGGCCAAGGAAAGGAAAAGGCCTTTTTGACAGAAGGACTACATTAACCAAAAGCCTTGCCTTAGCTGCAGCAATCTCTCTGGGATTAAAAAGCCGATGTGCTAAACTGCTGCCAATCAGAAAGATACCTAACTTGAGGCTAAGCCTTGCTTCACCTTTCCTGAGTGGCACTCAAGCACAGGTTTCCCAGGCAACCACACAAGTAATTAATTTTAATGAACAACATCAGCATTTACTGTCTATTCTACTTGGCTAATTGCTTGCGTAGTCCACAAGTATCAAAAAAAACAAGCCACAGTTGAGAAGGAGACAGGCACAATTTCTGATTAACAGATTTCTTCATAGCTTGTTTTCAAATGTTATTTTAAACATTCACTATTAATACATTTTCTATTTCAAACAGTAAAAATGCCATCACACTTGTGCGAACAATGAAGCGTATCGAGGCACAAAGAAGCCAGAAGGAATTCAAGTAACAATCAGAAAGTAATTTGGAAGATGCATTTTCTTCTAAATCATAAGGGTCTTTTCCACTCTATTAAAAATAAACCAATTTTCCCACACCCACAAATTAAACAGCTGACTTGCCTATATATACATATCAAGTAATAAGATAACAGCTTAATTTTTGGGGGTATTGTATCATTAAAAAAATGACAATTTTCTAAAAAAGCTAGTCCTTGAATGCTTGAAATGTGTATTCACCAGGTAAGTATGATTTAAGAGAAATTTGTTTTTTTTAAAAAATAAAAATATATGTTTCTCCATACTACCTAATGGCAGCTAAAATATAATGATAATTTTTACAGTGAACTGGTCATAAAAAGAAAATTATTTTAAACTTACTCTGTAGATAACTTCAATAAAAAAAGCCCCAAAATATTTCATATTTTGAATGAACCCATCAATAGTTAAGAAAAATAGTGTTAGAACACTACAGACACTCCTACTGACTTCACACTGAATAATTACAACTTTTGGTAGTTCATTATAAATGCTGTAAAAATCTTTCTATGAAAAATGCAATGTTAATGCAATGTTCCCCCATCCCAAAGAAATTTAAACAGCCTTTACAAAAAAAAAAAAAAAAAAAAAAAAAAAAAAGAAAAAAGACAGTGTTTTAAGAAGCATTTCTTTTAGCTTGTATGATATAGCCTTTGGACTTGATAATTCCTCTGCTTTTAACAATGACTGAATACCGCAGAAGCCATAAAGGAATCCACTTGTTTGCTTTCATGTTCGGGATGCTTTCCTGGAGAACTTCTTGGAAACTTGCTTCACAAAGTAATTCTGAAGTTAAAAAGGGATATTTGTGCTTAAAACAGTATCATGTAAACAGCTGCAAAAAGCAACACTTAGAAAGAAAAGCCTTTTCCCACAGTCCTTAAGTAGTACCATATACCCCTCAGATCCACTCCTGCAGAATGCATTTAGGGTAAAACCAGCTGAATATTACAAAATAAATCTCCAGGATGCTTTTTTGCAACATTGAGTATTTCTCACAAAACTAACTGAGACTCTGGAATATCAAATTGAGTTGATCAGCAGAGTCATTAGTGGGAGAAAAAGAAAGATTTGAAAAGCTAGTTAGACAAACCAGAGGCAAGTAAAGCATAGGGCTGAAATCAGCAAAGTACTGAGCATTCAGAGTTACCTCTGCAGTCACTGGAAAGTCAACATTTATAGTATCTCCCATAACGGGCTCATAATAACCATAAGCCCAGAAAGCTTTAAGAAAAATGGGCTTAAATGCCACAAAACAAAATAAAAAAGAAGGCATGTACAAGTCCTCCTAGTTTCCTCTGGAATGTTCATCAAAATAACAATGGTGAGGGACTGCTTACCAAAAATAGTCTCAATACTCTTCAGCTGACTATTACAGAAAAGTCAGGCTGAGCAAACAACACAAAGTAATCACAACTTGTGCTGTTTTCCATCAAATCCTCTTCTCCTTAATTTCATGACTTTCAGTGGATACCATTTATTAAAATGCAAGTTGCATTTGGACTTCAGAGGACATGGAAATTGAATGGAAATTGTCAGATTGAATGGAAATTCCTCTTGTATGCTGCCAGAGCAGTGATAAATCCTGCTCAGGCACTGATGAAATTAATTAATTGTAACAGTGGTACTATGAAGTACATACTTCATAAGAAATGCTTCACTTACTTTTTTCTTTGGGGTCAAGGGGAAAGAAAGGAGAAGGAAGGAAAAGTATCATCATGAATGATTAGTCATGACCAAGAATGTAGTGAAGGACTTAACTAAATATTGTTTAAGACTTTTTATTATTCCAGTAAGATGTTAAGGTGTCCAACACTCTTAAGGTGTTCTTAAGTGAAGAAGACTGATGATGTTTGAGAGAAGCTAATGTTATATCCCAGAATATTGCAGAGAACTGGTAACTCAGTTATACAGCTCAAAGGAAAGGCTCCAATTTCCTCATTCATTTAGCAAATAAATCACTGCATTAAAAAGTGAGGAATTTACAACTCTTTTTGTAATAATGTTATTTTAAGAAGTCAAGACTCTGAAAGAATCCTACTTAAAGCACAGTAATTTTACAGATCTAATATTACCAAACTACTCAAAAATCAACTGGCCATTAACATTTCTATTTCTATTTCACAAGTTCCAGGCAAGTACACTTTTGTTCGTCATTAACTGGCCTTTAGCAATACATTTAACTCCATATTTTGTAGAAATAAACATAGTACAAATTCTTCTTCTATTTATTTTATTTTCTTTGATTAGAAGTATTTCAAGAAATTATCCAAGGCTGCAAGACTAATTCAAGAAGGGGTGGGGGCGGGGGGAGGAAGCAACAGCTGTAACTTAACAGAAATATTTTATAAAGGAGAGACTTTTACAATCCTTGGTTCAGGCCTCAAAAAACAAACTTTGAACTTCAGGAAAAGATTATTCCTGATTTTCTATTGAATAAATGCATTTAGAAGTCTTCTGTTAACTTAATTGGCAAAGTCTTACCTTTGGGGTCATTGTGAGTTAGCAGCTGTATGTCACATTCTTTTGCAAATGCTGTGAGATCAGGTGGCATCACACAACAGGAAGCTAGGTTCACCTGATTACTACTTGGTTTCACCTGAGTAACAAAATATTTTTATAAGAAAAAATACTAATGTACTTTTAGCT